GATAGCTTCATGGAACATTAGTCCACCTAGAACTCTAACACAGCTAACATTAACTTTAGTTTATCATAGACATTAGGTTTGAAAGCAGAACGATAGGCCAGGCGCGGTGGCTCACGCCTGTAATCCCAGCACTTTGGGAGGCCGAGGTGGGTGGATCACGAGGTCAAGAGATCGAGACCATCCTGGTCAACATGGTGAAACCCCGTCTCTACTAAAAATACAAAAATTAGCTGGGCACAGTGGCGCGTGCCTGTAGTCCCAGCTACTCGGGAGGCTGAGGCAGGAGAATTGCCTGAACCCAGGAGGCGGAGGTTGCGGTGAGCCGAGATCGCGCCATCGCACTCCAGCCTGGGTAACAAGAGCGAAACTCCGTCTCAAAAAAAAAAAAAAAAAAAAGAAAAAAGAAAGCAGAATGATCACCACAATAGTTTGTTTATGGCATTTTATTTCAAGCATGTGAGTGGAAAGTTTGACACAGGACATTTCTTTGTATTCCGTTTTAGAAAAAAACTGGGACATTGGAGGGCAGATTTGGAACCCCCAGGATGTGAAAGAGAGTCTTTCAAGAGAAGTCCCGTCAATCAATAAGAGAACGCTGACTACCCAGAAAGGCACAGAACGTGTCAAATCTAAGAGAATACTTCGACCGAGCATAGACGATGTTTCTTCCGGACTTAGAGTCCTCGAATGTGGCCCACTTGAAAGGCATTTGAACTGCGATTTCAATTTGAAAAGCTATGTACAAAATAATTCTCATAAAGATAGTGGACACAGAAAATTAGTTGGTGATAATCCATCCAGATTTGTAGGAGAACAGCTTAAATGTAATGCACGTAGAAAGTTATTGGGTTCAAAGTCACGCCTTCAGAGTCACCTGGGGATGCATGGCAGTCAGAAATCCTTTCCATGCCCTAACTGTGGAAGAGCATTCCAGGAGAAGTGGAAGCTGAATAAACATCAGAAAACTCATGCAGAGGAGAGGCCTTATAAATGCGAGAAATGTGGAAACGCCTACAAGCAGAAGTCAAATCTCTTTCAGCATCAGAAAATTCATACTAAAGAGAAGCCCTACAAATGTAAGACCTGTGGAAAAGCCTTTTCCTGGAAATCATCCTGCATTAATCACGAGAAAATTCATAATGCCAAGAGATCCTATCCATGTAATGAATGTGAGAAATCCTTCAGGCAGAACTCAGCCCTCATTCAACATAAAAAAGTTCACAGTGGAGAAAAACTCTTTCAATGTGAGGACTGTGGAAAGGCTTTTATTTACAAGTCAGATGTCGTGAAACACCAGAGAACACACACGGGAGAGAAACCCTATAAATGCAGCATATGTGAGAAGGCCTTTTCCCAGAAATCAAATGCCGTGGATCACGAGAGGATTCACACTGGGAAGAGAGCTTATGCGTGTGAGCTATGTGGAAATACCTTTATCCAGAGGAAAAACCTCATTCAACACACAAAAATCCATACTGGGGAAAAATCCTATGAATGTAATAGTTGTGGAAAAGCCTTCCTTCAGAAGTCAAATCTTCATACCCATCAGAAAACTCACAGCGGAGAGAGGGCCTACAGTTGCAGTGAATGTGGAAAAACTTTCATCCGGAAACTAAGCCTCAGTTTGCATAAAAAAACCCATACTGGGCAAAAGCCTTATCAATGTGCTGAATGTGGAAAAGCCTTCGCTGACAAGTCGTACCTTGTTAAGCACCAGAAAAGGATTCACTCCAGATAGGAACCCCGTGCACTTTAAAAAACATGGGCAAATCCCAGCACTTTGGGAGGCCGAGGTGGGTGGATCACGAGGTCAAGAGATTGAGACCATCCTGGTCAACATGGTGAAACCCCGTCTCTACTAAAAAAAAGAAAAAAAAAATTTAGCTGGGCACGGTGGCGCGTGCCTGTAATCCCAGCTACTCGGGAGGCTGAGGCAGGAGAATTGCCTGAACCCAGGAGGCGGAGGTTGCGGTGAGCCGAGATCGCGCCATTGCACTCCAGCCTGGGTATCAAGAGTGAAACTCTGTCTCGAAAAAAAACCAAAAAAACATGGGGAGATATGGGGGCCTGGAATTGTCACCGCAGAATTCATGTTGCAATGGTCTGTAATTTGAAGGCTATCTTTGAAGGTAGTGAGGACTTATTATGCACGATACCCTTTGAAAACTGATTTGGCTTACTCAGCCAATGTTTAAGTATAAATGTTAATAGATGCCTTTTGTGTATCGGGAACTCTTAAAACACTGAAGACGTAGCAATAAACCCAATGTGCCAAAAACGCTTATGGAGTTTTATTCCAGTGACTAATGACCAGTGGTATCCATATCTTTAAAAACGTTTAAAAGACTATACTTTCGGCCGGGTGCAATGGCTCACACCTGTAATCCCAGGACTTCGGGAGGCCCCGAGCTGTGCGAATCACCTGAGCTCAGGAGATCGACACCAGCATGACCAACATGGTGAAACCGCATCTCTACAAAATGTAAAGATTGGCCAGGCATGGTTTTGGGCACCTGTAATCCCAGCTACTTCGGAGGCTGAGGAAGAATTGCTTGAACCTGGGCGGTGGAGGTTGCAGTTAGCCAAGATCGCACCATTGCACTCCAGCCTGGGCGACAAGAGCAAAACTCTATCTCAAAAATAAAAGAAAATGAATGAATGAATGAATAACATACAGTACTTTATAGTTTTAGGGATTCTTTCTATAATTCTTGAGTGGGGAAGTTTCTCTGGAGGTAGAGAGCACTGGAAACCATGACCAGGAAGTACAGCTTTCTCTTCAGAGCGCAAAGCTATCTTGGCATTGCTTCATGGGAACTGCCATTTGGCTTTCTTTCTTTCTTTTTTTTTTTTTTTGAGATATGTGTCACTCTGTTGTCCAGGCTGGAGCGCGGTGGTGTAGTCATAGCTCGTGACAGCCTCAAACTCTTGGGCTATACTTCCCCTTCAGGCTCCCAAAGTGCTGGGATTACAGGCATGAGCCATGACACTCAGCTTATTTCTTTTCTTACCGTACTTTCCTTCTTTTCCTCTGAAATGCTAAAAACAATATATATGTATATATATTTTTTGAGACGGAGTTTCGCTCTTGTTACCCAGGCTGGAGTGCAATGGCGCGATCTCGGCTCACTGCAACCTCTGCCTCCTGGGTTCAAGCAATTCTCCTGCCTCAGCCTCCCGAGTAGCCGGGATTACAGGCACGCACCACCATGCCCAGCTAATTTTTGTATTTTTAGTAGAGACGGGGTTTCACCATGTTGACCAGGATGGTCTCGATCTCTTGGTCTCGTGATCCACCCGCCTCGGCCTCCCAAAGCGCTGGGATTACAGGCGTGAGCCATGGCACTCAGCTTATTTCTTTTCTTACAGTACTTTCCTTCTTTTCCTCTTAAATGTTAAAAACAATACATTTTTTAAAACCTCATACGCATGTTTCTGGTCGCTCTTCTCTTTTTTCCCACACCCACTCTGCCGAATTTTGCCCCATTCCTTATACATCACCAGGCTCGTCTTATCTCTTTGTACCCACAAAATCCTCTCAACCTCCATCTATCTACTCACACGGCCATTTTTTTTTTTTCATGGAGTCTCACTCTGTCACCCAGGCTGGAGTGCCGTGGCACAATCTCAGCTCACTGCAACCTCCGCCTCCCGGGTTCAAGTGATTCTCCTGCCTCCGCATCCCAAGTAGCTGGGATTACGGGAGCCCACCACCACGCCCAGCTAATTTTTTGTATTTTTAGCAGAGATGGGGTTTCACCAAGTTGCTCAGGCTGGTTTTGAATGCCTGATAAGTGATCCACCCACCTTGGCCTCTCAGAGTGATAGGATTACAGGCGTGAGCCACCGCACCAGCTCTTCTGTTCTTTCCCACACCTACTCTGCCTAATTTCGCCCTGTTCCTTGTATATCAATCACCAGGCTCTTCTTATCTCTTTGTACCCACAAAATCCTCTCAAGTTCCATCTATCTACTCACATGGCCATTTAAAAAAATTGTTATTTACTCCTTGCTGAATTCAATGTCTAACACGTCACCTGTTGATGCTGTGTACACTATATGCTGTTTAGTGCTTGGCCACTAGGCAACGCTGTACATTTATGAAGATGGGTTTATTTATTTATTTTTTTTTTTTTTGAGACGCAATTTCGCTGTTCTTACCCAGGCTGGAGTGCAATGGCGCGATCTCGGCTCACTGCAACCTCCGCCTTCTGGATTCAGGCAATTCTCCTGCCTCAGCCTCCTGAGTAGCTGGGATTACTCAGCTAATTTTTGTATTTTCAGTAGCTGACCAGGATGGTCTCGATCTCTTGACCTCGTGATTCACCTGCCTTGGCCTCCGAAAGTGCTGGGATTACAGGCGTGAGCCATAAACTGATATAAACCCCATACGCTGCCAGGCATGGTGGCTCACACCTGTAATCCCAGCACTTTGGGAGGCCGAGGCGGGCTGATCACCTGAGGTCAGGAGTTCAAGACCAGCCTGACCAATGTGGTGAAACCCCGGCTCTACTAGAAATACAAAAAGTTAGCTGGGCATGGTGGCAGGCGCCTGTAATCCCATCTACTCGGGAGGCTGAGGCAGGAGAATCGGTTGAACCCGATTCCACTGCACTCCAGCCAGGGCAAGAGACTCCGTCTCAAAACAGAAATTAAAATAAACCCCATAGCCTGACCCTCTCACTGCAGCAGACACACCAAGGTGGACCATCCTCCCTTCCTTTTTTTTTTTTTTTTAAACAGGGTCTTTGTCACCCAGGCTGGAGTGCAGTAGTGCAATCATAGCTCACTGCAGCCTTGAACTCCAGGCTCAAGTGGTCCTCCCACCTCAGCTTCCTGAGTAGCTGAGACGTGCCTGGCTAAGTTATTTTGGTGGAGACAGGGTCTTGCTATATTGCCAGGCTGGTTTTGAACTCCTCTGTTCAGGCAGTCCTCCCATCCTGGCCTCCCAAAACGCTGGGATTACAGGTGTGAGCCGATGCCCAGCAGGTAGACGATGCTTTTTTGTCTCACCATCCCCCTGAAGATACACTGCAGCACTAAGTTCCTCCTCATAAATGCTCTGGACAGGTCCCCCCAGTGTTTAGTGCTTCTTTCTTTGGAATCCCAACCGGCCCGCTCTCAGAAGGGCTTTGGGCCTGCATTTGTTGGAATTTCTCTGCTGGAATTTCTCTAGGTTCAGCGGGACGAAATAAAGAAAGGCAAAGCATTCAGTGAAAATCATTTATATGACATAAACAATTCATATCAACAGGATAAAAATACACCAAGACCCTCCACGCGTTAACAGTGTTCTTCAAACTTTCAGGAGCCCTTGAGTCTCCATCAGATTGCTAAGCCACACCTCCTGTTTCTGCGCCAGTGGGTCTGGAGGGGACCCAAGAATCTGCATTTCTAATCGGTCCCTAGCTGCTGCTGTTGCTGGTTGAAGAACATTTTGAAAGCCATCGTGTCGGCCAGGCGTGGTGGCTCACGCCTGTAATCCAAGCACTTTGGAGGCCAAGGTGGGCGAATCACCTGAGGTCGGGAGTTCAAGACCAGCCTGACCAACATGGTGAAACCCTGTCTTTTTTTTTTTTTTTTTTTAAAAAAAAGAGAACGATCATGTCAAAACATGAAAAGCATCATTCTAATCTTGTAGGGAACATATGCATATGGGCCTGAGTTCTGGGATCTAGATAAATTCCCCCAAAATAAGTGTTTTTCATTGAGCTTTCACCCTGAGATACTTGTTCCTTCATTCTGGATTCTCCTTGCGTGGAGGAAGTGAGACCCAGTGAGTCCGTCAAGCAGGTCTGTATAAAGAGTCATCTTACTGCCCCTGAGGAATCACCTCTGCCTGCGCGCTAAGCAGCCGAGAGTTCTCTGCCTTTCTTAGCAGCTCCTCAAAAATCCCACTGTGCATGTAAAAGAAGATATATCCAGAGTGGAGCCTCGCCTCCTGCATTTCGGTCTCTGAGATTTCTGATACACACAGATCATTGTACGTGAACCAGGCCTGCTTCTGAAAGTCATATGCATCGCTGATGTAATGGCCTGAATTTGGGGAGCTCCCAATATGGCTGACAACACTGATGAGTCTGTAGGCCTGGAGGGGATCCCCCACCTTCGTGTTCCTCGTCAGTTCCTGGACTTTGTCTCTTGCGTTCTCTGTATCTAAAATGTCTTTGTCTCCTGGGTTATCAGAACCAAATGCCCCCAGGTGATTCAGGTCAGCCTTCTGAAGTCTGGCTTCTGTAGGTAGACTGAGGGTCTCCTCTGTATGTTCCTGGGCATCCGGCTTCCGAACACCTGGAGGTGGTGCCTGCTGAAGAAGTTCCTCTATGATGCTCTTCTCGATACACTGCTGGAGCTGTTCAGACATCCTTGGAGATCCTTCTGGAATCCTGTTTTCCTTACACTCATAAGAGCTATCGGTAGACTCAGTGACGCTGTCAAAATGTAACTCTACAAATGTGTTGGTGTTCTCACACTTCTCAAGGTCTGGATGTTGAGGCATCTCTTGAAGGTGGAAGTCGAGAAGCCTTGTGTCCGGGCTGCTGATTGGCTCACCGCCATCTTCACAGATCACAGGAAGAGAAAGGTCTCCCTGATCCATCAGTGAGTCAGCCACTGGACACTTCTTTTCACCGGATGCCGTATCTCCAAAGTTGACCAATTTTGACTCTAGCGTGGAGCCATTTTCCAGGTCTCTCTGACGCTGCTCTTGGCTGGCTTCCCCAAGGCCTCTCTGGAATCTTTGAAGGTCAGAATTCTTGTCTGGTTCCATGGGTAGAACCAGGGAGTCACTGGATTCCGAGGTGAGCTTCATTGATGCTGTTAATGGGCTGGTGCTCTCAGAGACCATCTCCCGAGAGACGTCCAGGACTTCGCCTTTCCCCAAAGGTGCGTTACTGCTCAAGGGAAGAGGTTGTTTGGTGCCCTCGTAGCAGTAAGAAGATAAGCTTAAATATTTGGGGATATAAACTTGCTCATTATTCTTCGCCAGCAACCAAGCGTCGTTGAAGCTGTAGCGCTTCAGATGAACGATGAGGACCCTGGAGAGCCGGCTGAGCGTGTGCATCGCAACACAACTCTTGCGCTTACACATCTCACAGTTATATTCAAGCTCTTCTTCTCTGAAGAAAAGATCTAAAGAATCCTGAATGGACGTAGGAAGCGCTTTTGTCTCTTGGTGCAGGTTGATGGAGAGGTAATTATTAGGTTCTACCTTGAGAACAGCATGACCACAGGCTTTGCAGATAATGGAGAGTTGCAATTCAAACTCAAAATTAGCAACAACGGGACAAACAAAGACTCTGGTGGCAGCGTGACCAACATGCAGTTGCGGAGAGGAGTTTCCGTCCCCACGGCCTCTCCCGGTTTTCAGAATGGCGTTTAAGTTCTCCATGTCCTCTTTCAGCTGGTCTAAACATTGACCTAAGAACTCATGAGCGTCATTCTGCAGGTCGCCAGAAAATATTTCTGCGACGGCCGAAATGACTTTTTTCACGTTCCCAAGTAATTCTTTCTTGATCTCCGTACTGCAGAAATCTTTCAAAGCAAGCAGCTGGGTCAAGGTCATAAGAAGAGCCTCAAAGGGAATATATTCCCACGGGACATCTTGAGTGAGTAAGTCATCAGCGAAAGACGGAATCGCAAACAGCGACTGTAAAATTGCGTTCATGTAACAGGTGTTTCCCAGGTTGGGGAAGCCTTGCTGCGGTTGCTCTGAGAGAAGGTCAGGGGGCACCTGGGCTTCGTGGCATCTTGGGTCATCCCGGCTGTGCTCGGGTTCTAATGGAAATGTCAAACCATGTTCAGCCTCGAGAGTCTGGATTGCAAGAAGAGTCTCATCTAGGTCAGGATTTCCACTGGAGTTGAATGGAGGCCCAGGTTCCAAACTTCTCCCTTTTTCCGAGTCCTCTAAACTCGATGGATCATTCCCATAGCTTTGTGTATACTTCAAGGGATCTGTCTTATATTTCTCATTTGATCCAAGGTTATGTTCCTTCAGAATGTGCTCGTTCATGTCTAGGTCAGATGACAGTGTGTCTTTCCTCTTCCCACCTTGACTTTCTACTAATCCCTTTTTCACACATGCTGGTGATTTTGACATAAACAAAGGCATCTTCTGAGGGAAAGGTGTCTTGCCTCCTTTTCCATAACCTGGCTTGTAACAAATGTAAAATGAAGTTCTGTCAATCTCCTTCGGCACGTCCCTACTTTCCAACACGCTCCAGTCGTCGTCAGGTTTCGTGGGTTGTTGAAATTTGTTTTGATGGATTATGTCCAGGAACGTATTCAACTGTTTAGCGTCTTTGTAGGATAATTTGTCAATAAACAGGAACACGTTGTTTTTCAGAGTTAAACGCAGGTGACTTTTCCTTTTTTTACGACGGATGAGGACCACACTTCTAATGTTATTACTCAGCTGAAAAATTCTTGTGAGTTTTCCAGACTTGAAGGTGACCACCAGTTTAGTTTCCTTTTTCCTTTGCACGGTTTCAATGAGAGCTTCTTTCGACTTAGTCATCCCAGTCTGCCGGCTCCAAATTTGGATGAACCCACGCACTTTTAGAGATATCATCCTCTCTTCATGTAACCTAGAGGAAACAAGCATATGTGCATTTTAACCAAAAATATATTAACAGTTATATTTTATGAAAAACCTCATCCACATACAATAATAGTTTTTTAGTCTTCTCCTTATGCTTTAAATAAAATACGATTTTGAGGAACTCCTTATATTCTGAAGCTATGCCAGTTCTCTAGAAGACATAGACTGAGGGCACACGCTCTTTCAAGGCAGGAAAGAAGATGAGGGAGGAGACATACAAACGGCCAACAGGTATATGGACAGGTGCCCAATATCACTGCTCATTAACAAAGTCCACATTTGGTTGGGTGTAGTGGCTCATGCCTGTAATCCTAGCACTCTGAGAGGCCAAGGTGGAAGGATCGCTTGAGCCCAGGAGTTCAAAACCAGCATGGGCAACATAGGGAGACCTCATTGCTACAGAGAAGTTTTAAAAATTAAAAAAGGGGAGGGGCCAAGATGGCCAAATAGGAACAGCTGCAGTCTGCAGCTCCCAGTGAGACCAATGCAGAAGGCAGGTGATTTCTGCATTTCCAGCTGAGGTACCTAGTTCATCTCATTGAGACTGGTTAGGCAATGGGTGCAGCCCATGAAGGGTCAGCAGAAGCAGGTGGGGCATCGCTTCACTCGGGGACTGGAAGGAGCAGGGAAGGGAAGCCACGAGAGACTGGGCTACTTGGCCCAGATGCTATACTTTTGCCAACCTGCAGATCAGGATATTCCCTCATGTGGCTACACCACCAGGCTCCTGGGTTTCAAGCACAAAACTGGGCAGCTGTTTGGGCAGACACCAAGCTAGCTGCAGGAGTTTTCTTTGCACCTCCTCAGTGGCGCCTGGAACCCCAGTGAGACAGAAACATTCACTCTCCACGAAAGGAGGGGGCCAGGTGGTCTCATTCAGTGGGTCCCACTCCCACGGAGCCCAGCGAGCTAAGAACCACTGACTTGAAATTCACACTGCCTGTACAGCACTCTGAAGTTGACATGGAATGAATGAACTTGGTAGGGGGAGGGACATCCGTGATTACCAAAGCTTTGGTGGGCAGTTTTCCCTGGACAGTGCTAAGGAGAGTGGGAGGTTTGGACTGGGCAAAATTCAGCACAGTGCAGCAAAGTGGCTGTGGCCTGACTGCTTCTCTAGATTCCTCCTCACTGGGCACGGCATCTCTGAAGGAAAGGTAACAGCCCCAGTCAGGGGCTTACAGATAAACTCCTGTCTCCCTGGGACAGAGCACCTGGGGGAAGGGGTGGCTGTGGGCACAGCTTCAGCCGATCTAATCTTTCCTGCTTGCTGGCTCTGAGAAGAGCAGCTGATTCTGACAAGAGGGATTATCCCAGCACAGCGTATTGGCTCTGCTAAGGGACAACGGCCTCCTCAAGTGGGTTTCTGACCCCCATGCCTCCTGACTGGGAGGGGTCCACAGACACCTCATGCAGGTGTGCTCTGGCTGGCATCAGGCTGGTGCCCCTGTGGGATGAAGCTTCCAGAGGAAGAAGCAGGAAGCAATCTTGCTGTTCTGTGGATTCCACTGGTGACAGGACACAGGGTCTGGACTATACGTTAGAAGAATAACCAACAAGCAGAAAGTAACAGTGTCAACACCAACCAAAAAGACTCCCCTCCAACACAAATGCCACCCAAAGGCCATCGGCCTCAAAGATCCGAGTTAGGTAAATCCACAAAGATGAGGAAAAACCAGCACAAAAATGCCAAAAATTCCGAAACACAGAATGTCTCTTCTCCAAGTGATTGCAACTGCTCGCCAGCAAGGGCACAAAACTGGACAGAGAATGTGAGTCTGACAAATTTACACAAGTAAGCTTCGGACGGTATAACAACAAACTCCTCTGAGCCAAAGGGGCGTGTTCTAACCCAGTGCAAGGAACCTCAGATGCTTGCTGAAAAGTTATAGGAACTGCCAACTAGAATGACCAGTTTAGAGAGGAACATACATGACCTGATGGAGCTGAAAAACACAGCACGAGAACTTTGTGAAGCAACCACAAGTGTCAATAGCCAAACTGACCAAGCAGAATAAAGGATATCAGAGATTGAAGATCAACTGACTGAAATAAGGCGTGAAAACAAGATTAGGAAAAAATACTGAAAAAGAATGAACAAAGCCTCCAAGAAATATGGGACTATGTGAAAAGACCACACCTACGTTTGATCGGTGTACCTGAAAGTGACAGGGAGAATGGGACCAAGTTGGAAAACACACTTCAAGATGTTATCCATGAGAACTTCCCCAACCTAGCTAAACAAGCCAACATTCAAATTTGGGAGATACAGAGAACACTGCTAAGATACTCCTCGAGAAGAGCAACCCCAAGACACATAATTGTCAGATTCTCCAAGGTTGCAACGAAGTAAAAAATGTTAAGGGCAGCCAGAGAGAAAGGTTGGGTTACCTACAAAGGGAAATCCATCAGACTAACAGCGTATCTGTCTGCAGAAACCCTACAGGCCAGAAGAGAGTGGGGGCCAATATTCACCATTCTTAAAGCCAGTAATTTTCAACCCATGATTTCATATCCAGCCAGGTAAGCTTCATAAGCAAAGAAGAAATACAATCCTTTACAGACAAGCAAATACTGCCGGATTTGGTCACCACCAGGCCTGCCTTACAGGAGCCCCTAAAGGAAGCACTAGATATCGAAAGGAAAAACTGGTCCCAGCCGCTGCAGAAACACACCAAAATATAAAGACCGATGGCACGGTGAAGAAACCGCATCAACTAATGCGCAAAAGAACCAGTTAGCATCGTAATGGCAGGATCAAATTCACACATAACAATATTAACCTTAAATGTAAGTGGGCTAAATGCCCCAATTAAAAGACACAGACTGGCAAATTGGATAAAGAGTCAAGACCCATAGGTGTGTGTGCTGTATTCAGATGACCCACCTATGTGCAAAGACATACATAGGCTCAAAATAAAGGGATGGAGAAATGTTTACCAGGCAAATGGAAAGCAAAAAAAGGGAGGGGTCGCAATCCTAGTCTCTGATAACACAGACTTTAAAACAACCAAGATAAAAAAATGACAAAGAAGGGCATTATATAATGATAAAGGAATCAATGCAACAAGAAGAGCTTACTATCCTAAATATATATATGCACCCAATACAGGAGCACCCGGATTCATAAAGCAAGTTCTTAGAGACCTACAAGGAGACCTGGACTCCCACCCAATAACAGTGGGAGACTTGAACCTCACTGTCAATATTAGTCACTGAGACAGAAAATAACAAGGGTATTCAGGGCTCAAACTCAGCTCTGCACCAAGTGGACCAAAGAGACATCTACAGAATTATCCACCCCAATCCAATGGAGTATACATTCTTCTCAGCATCACATAGCACTTGTTCTAAAATTGACCACATAATTGGAAGTAAAACACTCCTCAGCAAAAGTCAAGAGAACAAACAGTATCTCAGACCACAGGGCAATCAAATCAGAACTCAGGATTGGGCCGGGCTCGGTGGCTCACGCACTGTAATCCCAGCACTTTGGGAGGCCGAGGCGGGTATATCACTTGAGGTCAGGAGTTTGAGACCAGCCTGGCCAACACAGTGAAACCCCATCTCTAATAAATAAATAAATAGAAAGAACTCAGGATTAAGAAACTCTCTCAAAACTACACAACTACCTGGAAACTGAACAACCTGCTCCTGAATGACTACTGGGTAAATAACAAAATTAAGGCAGAAATCAAGAAATTCTGCCCAGGCACGGTGGCTCGCACCTGTAATCCTAGCATTTTGGGAAGCCAGGGCAGGCGATCACTTGAGGTCAGGGGTTCAAGACCAGCCCAGCCAACATGGTGAAACCTTGCCTCTACTTAAAATACAAAATTTAGCTGGGTGTCGTGGCTTATGCCTGTAATCCCAGATACTCAGGAGGCAGGGGCATGAGAACTGCTTGAAGTTGCAGGGATCCGAGAACACATGGACACACGGAGGGGAACGTCACACACTTGGGCCTGTTAGGGAGTCGGGGAAGGAGAGGGAGAGCATTAGGAGAAATACCAATGCCTGTGGGGCTTAAAACCTAGATGACAGGTTGATGGGTGCAGCAAACCACCATGGCACATGGATACCTATGCAACAAACCTACATGTTCTGCACACGTATTCTAGAAGTTAAAACTAAAAAAGAAAATTGGCTGGGAGCTGTGGCTCATGCCTGTAATCCCAGCACTCCGGGAGGCCAAGGCAGGCAGAACACCTGAGGTCTGGAGTTCGAGGCCAGTCTGGTCAACACAGTGAAACTCCGTCTGTACTGAAAATACAAAAATTAGCTGGGCATGGTGTCAGGTGCCTGCAGTTCCAACTACTCGGGAGGCTGAAGCAGGAGAGTGGCTTGGACCCAGGAGGCGGAGGTTTCGGTGAGCTGAGATCTCACCACTGCACTCCAGCCTGGGTGACACAGCGAGGGTCTGTCTGGGGTCGGGATTGGGGCCGGGGGGGAGAAAAATACAGGTAGTGAGGAAAGGAAGTAAGATGGTGTAAGATGGTGAGTTGTGCTAGATCATTAGCCAGAAACTGAGGCGGGGAGAGAGAGGGAGGGAGGGAAATACGAAGAGTGAAAAAGAAACTTGAAGGGAAACATCTCAAAAGACAAATGGGTTTCAGAGGGAACAGAAAATCTCTCTCTTCATTTGCTCCCTCCCCTTGCTCGTTTGCCCATTTCTCTCCAGGCAGTCAGGAATGCCTACTTCCTTCCTACATTCCAGTTTCAGGGAAAGCAGTGAAATCCCGGGGAAACCAACAGTTTGCTTACTCACAGTTCTTTCCGAAGAAACTTGAGTCAATTCACGGAAGTTTAAGCTTTGGAGAGCTGTCCATGGTCTCCGTACAGGCAGAGCCCTGACTGCCAACGCAGTTACTAGGAAAAAAAAAAAAAAACAAAAAACACGAAAGGGTCAGTCCTGAAACAGCTTTATTTTAAAAGCCTGCACATAGTCCCAACCAGCTTTCATGTTAATTTACTGCATTATATCTTAGAAACTAGGAAAACCAACCTTCCTCCAAAGCCCTATATATTAATTCAATCAGTGAGAGTGTTAATGGGATTATCTCTAAATGCAGTCCTAAGAGCGCCCCTCCCTAATTATGCAGATTAGATTAATATATCAATTGACCTCCCATTCATTGGTTTTCTTGGAACTCTGCCGCGACCAGACCTTCTAACGATATTTATTGCTTGGGAAACTCTTTACTTTATTTGGGTCTACAACTTAAAGACTAGTTCTGACTTTTCGCCCCTAGAACTTTTAGGCATCTTTATTTGTTTCTAGTTACAAAGAGGCAATATAGAGAGGATACATCAAAATCACACGCTGGGGCCGGGTGCGGTGGCTCAAGCCTGTAATCCCAGCACTTTGGGAGGCCGAGGAGGGTGGATCACGAGGTCAAGAGATCGAGACCATCCTGGTCAACATGGTGAAACCCCGTCTCTACTAAAAATACAAAAAATTAGCCGGGCATGGTGGCGCGTGCCTGTAATCCCAGCTACTCGGGAGGCTGAGGGGGGAGAATTGCCTGAACCCAGGAGGCGGAGGTTGCGGTGAGCCGAGATCGCGCCATGGCACTCCAACCTGGGTAACAAGAGCAAAACTCCGTGTCAAAAAAAAAAAAAAAAAAAAAAAAAAAATCACACGCTGTACATTCCAACTTCCGGGGTCCGGAGCCTTTATAACACTAAGGCTGAAACTCCATCCTCCTGAGTCTTAGTTTCACATAAGTGAAAATGGGACGGCAATAATAATAGCTACTTCTCAGGTTAGCCCAAGTCGTTGGGCTAAAATGGCTCAAAATCATGTCTGCACATAAGTAATTATCATATTCTTACTGCTAATTCTAAGAATATGTTAAATACAAGGATGGCTCATCTGGAGAAAATTAAGGCTCCATCAGGGGAGGAGAGGAAGTCGAGTGACTTTTATCACTGGTTTGTTGTACTGTACACTCTATACGACTTACATGCCTGGATACAATTTAACTCTGCAAGTGAGCACGTGATATTCAATTTTATTACATTTAGCATAGTAAGAAAACTGAGGTCCAGCTATGTTGTTAACCACATTAAGGGACTTTTGGGGTTGCCCAGTTAAAGGAAGAGGGATGTGTAATCAGAAATGGCTGCTGTTGATGGGTGCCCACATTTCTTCAATATAGGGCACGAATTATAACCCAGCAAACCATGTGGGAAACGGAAAATCTTCCATGAAAATAATTAACGTGTCCTCAGTTTCCTGAGAGAGCCTAACATAATATCTAGAGTGTGAAGAAAATCCCCTCCATTTCATCCTGTGGCTGCTGATAAATCAGTGCCTCTTTAGGGAAACTTTACCCTTACTGGACCTTAAATTTAATAAGAGGAGGAATCACAAAAATTAGAGAGCATCGCTTTTCCCTGAGCTGAGTTCAAAAGATAGTCTTCCTCATTGTCATTTTGAATGCATGTTCTTTTCTGAAAATGCCAGTATCCAATGTCACAGAAAACAGAAAACTATGCCTCAAAATAAAAACCGAGAATCAGGATTCTCTAATTTACAATTCAGCCTCATAAAGGGCAGAAGATGAAATTCCCTTTATCATAGTATCAGACAGTATCTTTAGGGTATTAGGTATAGACAAACGCTGCTTCCAACACACATACACACATACACACACATCCCATAACCTAAACAAGCAAACTTTGAATGAAACTTACAGTTTGGACAGCTGTTTTGGGGTGAGAGTGGATAATAACTCCTTTTTCAGAAATGAGATCTTGCTATGGTGCCCAGGGTGGTCCCAAACTCTTGGCCTTGTGTGATCCTCCAGCCTCAGCCTTCCAAAGTACTGGGATTTGACTCCATAGTGCCTGGATGAGAATTCTGAAAGTTGAGTCTGACAGTGATTATGATGTTCTGACCTTTTATACCCAGGTGGCTCCACCCACATCCCAGGTTTCTTCCAGTACACACCTTTCTTGATTAACTTATCTCTGCATGAGAGTTTAAAATACTTGTTTGGAAAAGGCTAGCTAGTAGACCTATTTTCCTTTGTTTCAATTTATAAATTTAAAACTTTTATTTAGAAATCATTGCAAATATACCTCAGAATTGCAAGATTAGTAGAAATAACCCTTATATTCCTTGACCCAAATTTACCAATTGTGTATGTTTTGCCACATCTCTCTACTTTCATTTTTTAATGTTTTATCTATTTATTTTATTTTATGTTTTGAGACAGAGTCTTGCTCTGTCACCCAGGCTGGAGTGCAGGGGCGCAATCTTGGCTCACTGCAACTTCTGCCTCCCAGGTTCAAGCGATTCTCCAGCCTCAGCCTCCCATGTAGCTGGGAGTACAGGCATGTGCCATCACACCCATCTAATTTTTGTATTTTTAGCCAAGCTGGTCTCCTGCTGCGGGCTCGAGCAATCCTTCTACCTCAGTCTACCAGGGTTAGTGTTACAGGCATGAGCCAACCGCCTACCCTTCTCTCTCTTTACGTATACCCCAAACCAATCGAGAGTGGTTGCAGATATCTTGTTCCCTTTTTTTTCCTCTCTCTCTCTTTGAGACAGTCTTACTCTGTTGCCCAGGCTGAAGTGCAGTGTTGGGATCTCGGCTTACTGCAACCTCCACCTCCTGGATTCAAGTGATTCTCCTGCTTCAGCCTCCCAGGTAGCTGGGATTACAGAGACGCCCAGCTAATTCTTTTGTATTTTTAGTAGAAAAGGTGTTTTTCCACATTGGTCAGGCTGGTCTGGAACTCCTGACCTAAGTGATCCACTGCCTCACCCTATGGGCAGATCACTGCTCCTGGCTCTTGTTCATTTTTCTTGAGACAAGGTCTTGCTCTGTCTCCTAAGCTGGGGTGCAGTGGTGTAGTCATAACGCACTGCAGCCTCAATCTTCCAGGCTCAAGCCATCCCCCCACCTCAGCTTCTCAATTAGCTGGATCTACAGGTTTGCACCGCCATGCCTGGCTACTTTTTAATATTGTTTTCTAGAGGCCTGGAATCACTCTGTTGTCCATGCTGGTCTCAAACTCCTGAATGCAAGGGATCCTTCCACCTCCACCACACCCTGCTTCTTTACTCTTTAATCCGTCAGTGTCTATTTCCCAGGAACATCGATGTTCTCTAATATAACCACAATAGAGTTACTGAATTTAGGAAATTTAGCATAAATATAGTATTTTTATTTTATCCACTCCAAATTCAATTTCAGAAACTATAACAATAATATCCTGTAGAGAACATTTTTTCTGGTAGAGGATCCAGCTCAGAATTACACAATACATTCTGTATTATATTGTTGTATACCTGTTATTATGTTATATTATATATACTGTATCTAATTAATATAATTTGTCCCTTAGTATCCATGAGGGATTATTTCCAGAATTCCCCTTAGATACCAAAAGCCACAGATGCTCAAGTCCCTTATTTATTTTTATATATGTATATATATATATTTATTTATTTTGAGGCGGAGTCTCACTCTCCCAAGCTGGAATGCAGTGAGCCGAGATCACACCTCTGCCTCCTGGGTTCAAGCAATTCTCCTCTCCTGCCTCAGCACCGCCCCCCCATTATTATATTATTAGATATATAATTAATATATCTAAGTATGCAGATTAGATACATTAATCTAATCTGCATAATTAGGGAGGGGCGCTTTTAGGGTTGCATTTAGAGATAATCCCATTAACACCCGAGATTTTCTCACAGATTGAATTAACAGATAAGCCTTTGAATTAACATATAAGGTTGGTTTTCCTAGTTTCTAAGATCACAAGCACATGCTGTAACGTCTAGGTAATTTTTGTATTTTTAGTAGAGATGGGGTTTCACCATGTTGGCCAAGCTGGTCTTGAATTCCTGACCTCTGGTAATCCACCCGTCTCTGCCTCCTAAAGTGCAGGTGTGAACCTCCTAAAGAATTACAGGTGTGAACCACCATGCCCAGACAGATGTTCAAGTCCCTTCATATAAAATAACAGAGTTTTACTCCAATTGTTTACCTGTTTTCCTTATAGTAACTGTGCTTTTTGTCATATAAGTATATATATAACATATATATATCTCCTACATTTTCAATATATGTAACTTGTGTAAAAAAATGTGGATAGTTTCAAAAAGATCATTTTATGTTCTAGTAGTTACCCCGGTTGACCAGTGTGCATTTTATTTTTTTGAGATGGAATCTCCTTCCGTTGCCCAGGTTGGAGTGGGAATGCCGCGATCTCGGCTCACTGCAACCTACGCCTCCCAGGTTCAAGCGATTATCCTGCCTCAGCCTCCCAAGTAGCTGGGATGACAGGTACCCACCATCATGGTCAGCTAATTGTTAGTAGAGACGGGGTTTCGCCATATTGGCCAGGCTGGTCTCGAACTTCTGACCTCAGGTGATCCGCCCGCCTTGGCCTCCCAAAGTGCTGGGATTACAGGCGTGAGCCACCGTGCCCGGCCCTACTTTTATTTTTCTATTCAGTGCATTTTCTTTTTTTGAGACGGAATCTCCTTCCGTTGCCCAGGTTGGAGTGGGAATGCCGCGATCTCGGCTCACTGCAACCTACGCCTCCCAGGTTCAAGCGATTATCCTGCCTCAGCCTCCCAAGTAGCTGGGATGACAGGTACCCACCATCATGCCCAGCTAATTGTTAGTTGGGACGGGGTTTCACCATATTGGCCAAGCCGGTCTCGAACTTCTGACCTCAGGTGATCCGCCCGCCTTGGCCTCCCAAAGTGCTGGGATTACAGGCGCGAGCCACCGAGCCCGGCCCTTTTTTCTTTTATATACTTTTTGAGACAGGGTCTTGCTCTGCTGCCCGGAGCGCAGTGGTGTGATCACAGCCCACCGCAGCCTCGACCCCTGTCTCCAGTCATCCTCCAACCTCCGCCTCCCGACCATCTGACACTACAGGCCCTGGCCGCCACGCCCGGCTACTTTTGTAATTTTTCGTAGAGATTGGTGGGGGAGGGTCTCACTATGTTGCCCAGGCTGGTCTCCAACTCCTGGGTGCAAGCGATCCTCCCGCCTCGGCCTCCCAAAGTGCTGGGATTACAGGCATGAGCCCGGCCGGCATTTTTTGTCTGGATGTTTTTACGTAAGCAGAGTCGTCATGATGGAGGTACCGTTCCTTGGACTTCCGGCTCCCCTGCTGTGGAAATCTCCGATCAGACACGCCCCTTCCGGTGCCGCCTCCCACGTTCTTCCGGGAACTCCGAGTTCTCGGAGCCACACGCTGCGCCTGCGCAGTGTCGGGCGCGGTCCTCGCAGCTCAGACCGCTCCGTGCGGGCTCCAGCGCGGCCATGTAACGGGAGTCGCTGGTCCAGAGCGGGTGAGGCTTAATGGCAGGAGTTAGGGTTCCGAGAAAACCAGCTCAGGGGCAGGTTCACCCCGCTCAAGTGAGGTGGGGGTGTGGGCAGGCGGCCAGGTGCCAGGATCCACGCCAGGCATTGCCAATAACCGCCATCCCGGCCAGGCGCGGTGGCTCACACCTGTCATGCCAGCAGTTTGGGAGGCCGAGGTGGGCGGGTCACCTGAGGTCGGGAGTTCGAGACCAGCCTGGCCAACGGGGTGAAACCCCATCTCTACTAGAAATACAGAAACTAGCTGGGCGTGGTGGTGCGCACCTGAAAGCCCAGCTACTGGGGAGGCCGAGGCAGGAGAGTCACTTGAACCCGGGAGGGTGGAGGCTGCGGGGAGCTGAGATCACGCCATTGCACTCCAGCCTGGGCGACAGAGTGAGATTCAGTCTCTGAGGGTGACCTGTGGTCCCAGCACTTTGGGAGGCCGAGGCGGGTGGATCACGAGGTCAAGAGATCGAGACCGTCCTGGTCAACATGGTGAAACCCCGTCTCTACTAAAAATACAAAAAATTAGCTGGGCATGGTGGTGCGCGCCTGTAATCCCAGCTACTCGGGAAACTGAGGCAGGAGAATTGCCTGAACCCAGGAGGCGGAGGTTGCGGTGAGCCAAGATGGCGCCATTGCACTCCAGCCTGGGTGACAAGAGCAAAACTCCAACTCAAAAAAAAAAAAAAAAAAAAAAAAAAAGGTCATCCTCCAGGTAGAAGAGACAGGAAAAAGGGCGCAGAAGGGACTTAAACGTCTCAGGCTTTCCAGCGCATTTGCCTCGGCCCCCCAGGAATCCTTCAGGGAAACTGAAACATGGCGGCCAGCCCCTGAGTCTCGGGGAAGCGGACGGTTTCCCAGCCGAGCTTTAGGAGGGCTCGCCGCGGGGCCTCACAGGTGACGTCATCTCCGGGGGTAGTTTGGGGGCGGGGGTCGCCGTGGGCGGGCGGAGTGCCGCGTGGCGCCTGGGCCAGTGATGCCCAGGCGCAGTCATTTGTGGGCCTGTTCCCCTGCGCGAGGGGACAAGGCTGGCTGGGGTCTGGGGGCGCGCGCAGTGGTGGCTGCATCCTGACAGCTTCCATCTCTCCCCCCCCGAGGCCCGAGTCCTCTGCGAGAGTCACGTCTCTTCTTTTTATTTTTTGAGACGGAGTTTCGCTCTTGTTACCCAGGCTGGAGTGCAATGGCGCGATCTCAGTTCACCGCAACCTCCGCCTCCTGGGTTCAGGCAATTCTCCTGCCTCAGCCTCCCGAGTAGCTGGGATTACAGGCACGCGCCACCATGCCCAACTAATTTTTTGTATTTTTTTTTTTTAGTAGAGACGGGGTTTCACCATGTTGACCAGGATGGTCTCGATCTGTTGACCTCATGATCCACCCGCCTCGGCCTCCCAAAGTGCTGGGATTACAGGCTTGAGCCACCGCGCCCGGCTGGGCGCTCACGCCTCTGCGCCTGGGGAGGTCCCAAGGTGCTGGGAGACCTCGACCTGACAAGAACCGGGCGTCCAGGTTCTTGTCACTGGTGTGAGAAGGAATTCATGGACATGCTTGTCCATACAACGAAGTATGTAGATGTATTGCGAAGGGGACGTTCGTTCACCCGGGAGAAAGAAAAGTGCAGTCAGGCCGGGCGCGGTGGCTCACGCCTGTAATCCCAGCACTTTGGGAGGCCGAGGCGGGTGGATCACAAGGTCAAAAGATCGAGACCATCCCGGTCAACCTGGTGAAACCCCGTCTCTACTAAAAATATAAAAAATGAGCTGGGCATGGTGGCGCGTGCCTGTAATCCCAGCTACTCGGGAGGCTGAGGCAGGAGAATTGCCTGAACCCAGGAGGCGGAGGTTGCGGTGAGCCGAGATGGCGCCATTGCACTCCAGCCTGGGTAACAAGAGCGAAACTCCGTCTCAAAAAGAAAAAGAAAAAGTGCAGTCATACCAAAGAGCATCACGCCCAACGGTTTTGGGGGCTGCTACCTTTATACAGTTAACCCAGGGGTGGAATATTCAGGAAGGTTCTTGGAAAAAGGCACACATTTCTTGGTACTGTGGTGCCATCCATCTTTATACTAAATGTGGGTGTTCTCAGAACTGTCACAGTGGGTGTGTGTCTTAGTGTGTTTATGAGCACATAATGAGGTCCTTGGTGAAACGGGTTAAATCCAGCACCATGCTGGGTCCAGTTGGCTTTACCCAGCTGGCCCACACCCTGGTTTTCAGGGTCTTGTCTGCCCTTATCTTATGCAGCTATTTCAATGGTTTCCTTTGCTAATCATGGGAAACGGTTGCCTCGAATTTTCTGGTCTCCTGCGACCCCTTTATTGTTCCTGTCTCAAGGAGCACCCCGTTTGTGCACATAAGGAGCCTGCATCGGGAGGAGGCCCCTGGCTGCTCATGGAGTTTCAGCCAGATGGTTGTGTGTTGGAGTCCTGCATTCGTTCCACTAACATGCAGCAAGGCCGTGTGGGTTCGAGACCTGCCTCCAGCACTTCCCCGCTGCGTGACACGGGCAAGTTGTTTAAGCTCTCTGTACCCAGTTTCCTCCTCGATAAGGCAGGGGTGGTGATGGCACTGTGTGTGAGCACTGCTCGGTACCAAGCTTGGATTTTCTAATCTTTTCAGGCAGATTCGTGGGAAGAAAAACACCAGCCGAGATATATAGAGAAAAAGAGTTTATTTACAAGGAAAGAAAAAGAGTTTATTTACAAGGATACCTAGAGACGCTCACAAACTTCAACACCGGCAATAAAGCAGCACGGGTTTTCGCAAGTCCAGACCAAGTCACCACCGAAGCTCAGTTCGGCTTCTGCTAAACAATCTTTTATACTTTTTAAAACAAAGAAGGGTCAAGTCAGGACACTGTCCACGTCTTCATCGTGTAACTAACATCCTTGAGGTGTTTACCAAAAATTGGATCAGGGAACTGGCCAGGTTCCCAGGTCCGGCTCTTCAGAGCCTTTTTTTGCATTGGGAAAATTCTGAGCTCGGAATACTCCCAATGATAAGGAAATGAAGATATAGAGTCTGTCCATGACGTGTAAACGTAATTAACTCCTTCTGTTCCATTACACACTGGCTCTAAAGAGTTGTCGTGAGAATTCACACAGGACATGAATTAACGTGTTTAAAATGCCCAGAACCTTGTCTTTGGATTCCCTCAGACCTCCAAGGTGTTTGCTCAGTAAAGGGAGACACCCAACTTAATTCGGGGTTCTACAGACCTTGCATTATTTGCAAAATACCACTGGCTTCTTGACACTGAAGTTTTACAAATGTGCCGTCATTTCCTTCACAAGTTTCTGGTGTGGATGTTGCTTGAACTAAAACAACCCTGTGACAAGTGGCCTCATGGAAATCTTTGCACATGGCCATGCTTGTTTTCTGTGGCTGAACTTGTGGGATTTACCTGAGTCACCTGTAGACAAGGTTGTCCCTGCCTCAGTAAGGTCCCCTCTGCCCTTTGCAAGACTTCAGTGTGGCCCCATGTCAGCTAAGGCAAAGATTTGGGGCTACAATTACTGGGTAGGGCATAGGGCCAATCTGGATTCTCATATTTGTTCTCCTTCCCATATCTGCTCCTCAGCCCTATGCCCTTTCTCAGGAGGTGCAGGAAATGATCAAATCCCAGATGAGGTTTGCATTACCATTTTTTTTTTTTTTTTTTTTGAGATGGAGTTTTGCTCTTGTTGCCCAGGCTGGAGTGCAATGGTAGGATCTTGGCTCACTGCAACTTCCACCTCCCAGGTTCAAGCAGTTCTCCTGCTTCAGCCTCCCTAGTAGCGTGTGTGACTTAGTGCCCACCACCACACCTGGCTCATTTTTGTATTTTTAGTGGAGACAGGGTATCACCATGTTAGCCAGGCTGGTCTTGAACTCCCAACCTCGGGTGATCTGCCCACCTCAGCCTCCAAAGTGCTGGGATTACAGGGATGAGCCTCTGCTCCCTGCGTTTGTATTGCTTTCTAACTTGCCCCTACGTCATTTTCCAGCTGTGTAATACATTCAGCAAGCATTTACTGTGTGTGGCACGGTCACTTCTCTAGGTTAGTCGTTTTCACTTGGTTGCAGTTTTGCTCCCGAGGGAACAATTGCCAGTGTCTGGAGACAGTTTCGGTTGTCACAATCTGGAGGATGCTCCTGCCAGTGTAGAGCTACTCAGCATCCTACAGTGCAGTGGACGGGACCCTCCCCAGCCTCCCCACCCTCCTACGGAAAGAGTTATCCAGCCCAAATGTCAGCAGTGCCCAGGCTGAGAAACTTTAGGTAGGGGAGATGTAGAGGTAAACCTAGCCAACAAAAATCCCTGACCTCATGAAGTTCATGAAGTTCATGCTCTCCTGGGCCACATTCTAACTGAAGGATTGACGTGTATTATCTATGTATCTATGCAGCTTTCTGTATATTTGCAGAGAAAAATACCTGGGATTTTATTATTTGCCTACTGTGAAGGAGAGCAACTTCTGGGAACTACGATCTGCGGTGATGACTTTTCTTTTGAGATGGAGTTTCGCTCTTGTTACCCAGGCTGGAGTGCAATGGCGCGACCTCGGCTCATCACAACCTCCACCTCCTGGGTTCAGGCAATTCTCCTGCCTCAGCCTCCTGAGTAGCTGGGATTACAGGCATGTGCCACCGTGCCCAGCTAATTTTTTGTATCTTTAGTAGAGACGGGGTTTCACCATGTTGACCAGGATGGTCTCGATCTCTTGACCTCGTGATCCGCCTGCCTTGGCCTCCCAAAGTGCTGGGATTACAGGCGTGAGCCACCGCGCCCGGCCTTGCGGTGATTACTTTTATCTTTGTCACTTTGGTGGAATGTGTAATTATTTTCATAAGCATGTGTAATTTTTACCAAATAAAAGTGATTTTTTTTTTTTTGGTAAAAAAACACGAATGTTTGTAAAAGTGGGGGAAATCATGATTATTTAGAGCGGGGTGGTGGAAGGGGTCTCATCAACCAGAGGTGGTTCTGCCCCGACCCAGTGGACCTTTGGCAATGTCTGGAGGCAGTTTTGATGGTCATAACTGGGTGAGGAGCTGCTCCTGGCCTCTAGACGGTGAAGCCAGAGATGCCATTCAATGCCCAACAATGGACAGCACAGACCCCACAGCCAAGAATCCTCCAACCGCAAATGCAGAGGGTGCCAGGGGTGGGTAGCCCTGATGTAGAGCGACAGTGGAGGGAGATGGAGGGAGAGGGCACTGGTGAGCTCACAAGCATTCCTATAGGATGCCGGCTCTGCTCGGAATCCCGGTCTAGCTGCTGCTGCTGCTGCTTTTTTTTTTTTTTATGCTTCTGTTTATTTTTCCTGCTCACAAAAATGGCCAACAACTGCCTTTCAAGGGAAGGGAAGGGAATGCTGGGAAAGGTCCTCACGAGCCCTAAGCCGAGCTCTCAAGAGAGAAGTGAGGCAGCCGGGGATCTGGGAGGCCAGAGCCCAGCTAGGGCCCCAGTTTCCTAGAAGCGGGGCACCTCCTGAAGAGCAGTGCAGAGGGCATGACTCCATACAGGTAAGGCGGCTCCACACAGGCCTGTAACTCCCTTCTCAGCCCAGGGAGCTCATCAGGGTCTGGGCCTGCTTCAGCTCTGCCAGGAGGACCTGGAACTTGTCTGCTGAGAGGGACATGGCAACAGGCTGGGCTGGGGTACCTGGGGCAGCTGCCACCTCCAGGCGCAGGTGCACCATAGGCTCTTCCACAGACTGCAGCAGGCTGGAGCTCAGGGTGTAGTCTGCCCGCCAGCCCGCACCTGCCAACCTGTTTGTGCGTAGGCTGCAGACCCACAAGTGCTTCTGCCAGGGAATTTGCTTCTCCTGGTAACAGCGGCACAGGCCGGCGGCGTGCTCTGTGGGCAGCCCCAGCTGCTGCAGTTCGCTGGATAAGGATTCGCCATCAACACTGTGCTTGGCCGCACTGGAGAGGATGAAGCTCAGCACTGCCACTGTGGCCTTCACATCGCCTGACTCAAACTTGGTGTCAGCCATGAGGTTCAGGATCTTCTCATAATCAGTCCCCTGTCCCAGCAGGCCCTTTAGTACCTGGCTGCAGAGCAGCCGCAACTTCACAGAGGACGTCTTGGCCAGCGTGCTGATCTCTGCCAGGACCCAGTCGGGACAGTCCGGATCACCACAGAACCGGAACCTCATCGCGCCAGGGAATTCCTTTTTCCTCTCCATTTTTTTTTTATTTGTATTTTTAAGATGGAGTCTCCTTCTGTTGCCGAAGGTGGAGTGAGGTGGTGGGATCTCGGCTCACTGCAACCTCTGCCTCCCAGGTTCAAGCAGTTCTTCTGCCTCAGCCTCCTGAGTAACTTGGACGACAGATTCCCACCACCATGTCCAGCTAAGTTTTTGTATTTTTTTTTAGAGACGGGGGTTTTCAGCATGTTGGCCAGGCTGGTCTTGAACTCCTGACCTCAGGTGATCCACCCACCATGGATCACCTGATGCAAGTGCTGGGATTACAGGCATTAGCCACCGTGTCTGGCCAAAAAAAGTTTTTTAGGTTGTTAATGAAGAACCTCAAGTTATGTTTCTAAAGATTTTTTTCTGCAGAGCAAATTCAAGCCCCATCCCCAACTCGACTGAATGTATGAACCAGGAGGCATACATCTCAGACAACAAGTTCTCATGCTTTTCTTTTCCTTTTTCATCTCTGAATGGTGCTGCTCCTCGAGGAGCAGGACTAACTCATGGGCAGTAGCTGTGGAGTCTGCCCCAAGGTTCTTCTGTTGAAAACAAGGAACACAGGCTGGGCGCGGTGGCTCACAGCTGTCATGAATCCCAGCACTTTGGGAGGCCAAGGCAGGAGGATTGCTGGAGCTGAGGCGTTTGAGACCAGCCTGGGCAACATAGCAAGACCCTGTCTCCAAACAAATTTTTCAGAAAACTAGCCAGGTGTGCCGGTGCACACCTGTAGTTCCAGCTACTTAGGAGCTGAGGTGGGAGGACTGCCTCAGCCCAGAAGATTGAGGCTGCAGTGAGCCGTGATGATTCCAGACTGGGGGACAAAGCAAGACTCTCTCCAAGAAAACAAAAACGCAAGGGAAGTGATGCATATTTGAAAACATCATGTTTTGCACAATAAATGTATACAATGTTTTTGTCTAGTAAAAATAATTAAAAACTATTTATTGAGATGGAGTCTCGCTCTGTCGCCCAGGCTGGAGCATAATCAATGTCATGATCTCAGCTCACTGCAATCTCTGTCTCCCAGTTCAAATGATTCTTCTGCCTCAGCCTCCCAAGTAGCTGGGATTGCAGGCACGCATCACCACGCCTGGCTAGCTTTTGTATTTTAGTAGGGACGGGGTTTCACCACATTGGCCAGGTTGGTCTTGAACTGACCTCGGGTGATCTGCCTGCCTCCGTCTCCCAAAGTGCCGTGATTGGGAGTGTGAGCCACTGTGCCCGGCCTAAAAATAATTAATTTTTAAGAAGAGTGGCTCAAGCCTGTAATCCCAGCACTTTGGGAGGCCGAGGCGGGTGGATCACAAGGTCAAGAGATCGAGACCATCCTGGTCAACATGGTGAAACCCCGTCTCTACTAAAAATACAAAAAATGCTTAGAAAGAGAGGCAGCCTCGTGTAGCAGTTAAGCCCCTAGAATGTAGGTTCAGGCTTCCTGGGACTAAACCCCAGCCCTGCCTCACAGACTTCACCTTCTGTTTTCTCACCTTTGAAATGGGATAATAGCAGCATCTTCATCATAGATGCTCTGTGAGGATAAAATAAGTTAACGGATCCAAAGTACCTAGAAGGGTGGGTAAATATTGTCTGTAAATGCCCCCAAGAAAGGGTCAGAATAGCAATTTTTTTTTTCTTTTAGAGATGGAGTCTCACTCTGTTGCCCAGGCTGCAGTGCAGAGGTGTGACCTCAGCTCACTGCAACCTCCTCCTTCCAGGTTCAAGCAATTCTCCTGCCTCAGCCTCCTGAGTAGCTGAAAATACAGGCACCCGCCCCCCACACCCAGCTAATTTTTTTTGTATCTTTAGTAGAGACGGGGTTTCAGCATGTTGGCCGGGCTGGTCTCAAACTCCTGACCTCTGGTGATCCCCCCACCCTGGCCTCCCAAAGTGCTGGGATTACAGGTGTGAGTCACCACTCCTGGCTCCGAATAGGAAATATTTGAGGCTCTGCAGGCCACACAGTCTACTCACCTCTGCTGATGTGACACAAAGCCACAGGCAGTGTCAGTGAAGGGATGGCCATGGGCCAACACACCTTTTTTTTTTTTTTTTTTTTTTTTAAATTGCATTTTAGGTTTTGGGGTGGAAACCAAGATTTGGATTTCATATAATTTGCACATTCTATGAAATATCATTTCCTTTTATTTTCTCTGTTTCCCTTCTTTTTATTCTGTTCGCTTTCTCTCTCTTTTTTTTCTTTGCTTTCGTTTTGGAGACAGCGTCTTGCTCTGCCACCCAGGCTGGAGAGACAGTGGTGCAATCATAGCTCACTGCAGCCTGGATCTCCTGGGGTAAATGACCCTCCCAGTTCAGCTTCCTCAGTAGCTGGGACCACCACACCCAGTGCCACCACACGCAGTTAAGTTTTTAACTTTTTGTAGAGACTGGGGGAAGGTGGGTGTCTCACTATGTTGCCCAGTCTGGCTTTGAACTCCTGGGCTCAAATGATTCTCCTGCCTTGACCTCCCAAAGACAGGATTACAGATGTGAGCCAGTGTGCCAGGCCTGATTTATTTTCAATAACGTGAACACATAAAATCCATGCTCAGCTTGAAGTTCCTACAGAAACAAGCACTGGTCCACATTTGGGTTTGGCAAACTCTGCTCTAGCTCTGTGGTTGGCTTTCAGGAAGGCACCTGGAAGTGTCGGATAAAGAGAAAGAAAAGCAGAGAAAAGTTCTGCCAGGGAACCCGAGACGCTGAACTCCTCTGTAGGGTGGGGAGAGGGACTTAGAGCTGTTCCCTTTACACCACAGACTCCAAAGGGGAGCAGCCTGAAGCCTGGGGACACTTACCCACGGAAGACGGTTGGTCAGCACGGTCTTCATGAAAGAATAAAGATACGACCTTCTTAAACATAAACCGTGGAAGATTTCACTTCAAGGAGCCCAGATTTCTGGGTTTTGTGACCCACGTTCCTATGTGGCAGCAACAGGTTGGAGAAGAGCACGGAGCTCCTTTATTTATTTTTATTTAATGAATTTTTTTTTTTTTCAAGGCGGAGTTTCGCTCTTGTTACCCAGGCTGGAGTGCAATGGCGCGATCTCGGCTCTCTGTAACCTCCACCTCCTGGGTTCAAGCGATTCTTCTGCCTCAGTCTCCCGAGTAGCTGGGACTACAGGAACGCGCCACCATGCCCAGCTAATTGTTGTAATTTTAGTAGAGATGAGGTTTCTCCAGGTTGGCCAGGATGGTCTCGATCTCTTGACCTTGTGATCCGCCCGCCTCGGCCTCCCAAAGTGCTGGGATGACAGGTGTGAACCATGGAGCCCCGCCAAGGAGCCCCTTTAGATGGGATGGGGAGGGTCCTGTTCAGGCTGCCCAACTCCCTCCTCCTCCGTCTCCTTCCCCTCCCTCTTCCATCTGTCTCCCCATTCCCCATCCTCCGTTCATCCACCTGAGTGCCAGACCCTGGTGGACAAGGAAGATACTCAAAAGATTTAACAAGGGTGGGGCAATAGCCGGTCCTAATAAGGCCCTGACCAATGGTACACGAGCCCCAGCTGAGAGCCCCCGGTGCCCCCAGCTCCTGTAGACATTGACGTTTAAATTTTACTGAATCATATGCATGTCTCAGATTAAATTTTTTTTTTTTTTTTTTTTTTTTGACATGGAGTCTCACTGTGTCACCCTGGCTGGAGATTCTCAGCTCACTGTAACCTGTGCCTCCCAGGTTCAAGCGATTGTCCTTTCTCAGCCTCCTGAGTAGTTGGGATTACAGGCATCTGCCATCACACCCAGCTAATTTTTTAAATTTCTAGTAGAGACGGGGTTTCACCATGTCGGCCAGGATGGTCTCGATCCTCTGACCTCTTGATCCGTCCGTCTCGGCCTCCCAAAGTGCTGGGATTACAGGCGGGAACCACCACGCCCCGCCTGCTTGTCAGATTTACAATAAATAAAGATCTGAAAACCGAAAAGTCCAGCGCGGTGGCTCACCCCCATAATCCCAGCACTTTGGGAGGCCTAGCTCGCGGAATCAGCTGAGGTCAGGAGTTCGAAACCAGCCTGGCCAACATGGTGAAACTCCGTCTCTACTAAAAAAAATAAAAACAAATTAGCAGGAAGCTGAGAAAGGAGGATCACTTGAACCAGGGAGGTGGAGATTGCAGTGACCCAAGATGGCACCACTACACTCCAGCCTGAGCGACACAATTCTTTTCTTGAGACAAAGTCTCAAGAAAAAAAAAAAAAAAAAAAAAAAAAAAGAGAAAAAAAAAATAAATAAAAAGCAACCAAAAAAAAAGGGGCCCCAAACTACTTTATTACTTGTCTTGTACCACCACCTAGTGGCAGCAGGTAGCAACTGTAGCCCTGATGTAGAGCGACAGTGGAGGGAGAGGGCACTGGTGAGCTCACAGGTATTCCTACAGGACGCCAGCTCTGCTTGGAATTCAAATCTAGCTGCCGCTGCTTTTTAAAATTTTTTTTTTAATTTTTGAGATGGAGTCTCCTTCTGTTGCCCAGGATGGAGTGCAGTGGTGTGATCTAGGCTAATTGCAACCTCCTCCTCCCAGGTTCAAGCAATTCTCCTGCCTCAGTCTCCTGAATAGCTGAAATTACAGTCACCTGCCCAGACACCCAGCTTTTTTTTTTTTTTTTTTTTCTATTTTTAGTAGAGACAGGGTTTCAGTATATTGGCCCCCTGGGATAGAACTCCTGACCTCTGGTGAGCCGCCCACCCTGGCCTCCCAAAGTGCTGGGATTACAGGTGTGAGCCACCACGCCTGGCCCAGAATAGCGAATATTTGAGTCTCTGCAGGCCACACAGTCTACTCACCTCTGCTGATGTGACACAAAGCAGCCACAGGCAGTGTCAGCGAAGGGATGGCCATGGCCCATCACAGCTTTATTTGTGGAAACCGAGGTTTGGATTTCATAGAATTTGCACATAGCATGAAATATCATTTTATTTTCTCTGTTTACCTTTTTTTCTGTTCTCTTTCTCTCTTTTTTCTTTTCATTCTTTTTTTGAGACAGAGTC